TTGCAAATTTTATTTCAAATTCTGTCAGCAGCCCTGAAGGTAGGAATTAATAGTTCTATTTTACAGATGAGGAAACTAAGGCTCAGAGAGGCTAAGAAAGTTGCCCAAGTTCATGGTAGGAAACTGCAGAATCAGAACTTGTACAGAGAACAGCCTGAGGGCATGTTTTATATTTTTATATCCCATGCTTCCTTCCCACAGAGGAAAGCGCTTAACACTGTTAACTGCCAGCATTCAAGCAGGTGATGAAATGCCTGGTACACAGCAGATGTTCAGGAGAAGATGGCTGAGCTGGACTGCATGGAAAATACTCGTGGTTTTCAAATACTGTTGCCTTCTGAAGCTCTATGCCAGATGCTGGGTTCTCCTCATCGTCATTCATCATCAAGTTATAAATGTAGATAAAAATATTAGGAAAATCTCCACTCTACTTAAAAAATTATTTCCACTTTATCCCTTTACAACAGAGTAAATTAAGCACACAGCTTGATTGTTTGAAAAGATTCTAAGAGCTAAACTGAACTTGCTACTAACCATTTTCAAAGGCTCACTACAAATCACACAGTCTCCTGTGATTCTCCTGTTAGTATAAACCTTGACAGGTCACTGAAGGAATTATCCTAAAGATTCACATTACAAGCCAGATACAAGGGATGCATCCGTGGCTGAGCCACTCACCCTTGTTAACAATCCAGCTGAGACTGTCCACAACAGTTTAAAGAAAGGACCTTCGAATTTGACCACCAGTAACATGTGACCAGTGCCCCTCCCCCCAGCTGCTCTGCATTCAGCATCTGCGTTCCCCTCTGGGTAGCCTGCTGAACCGTCTTAGTTGGTCTAAGTTACCAGGTGGCCACTTTGCAGAGAAGTCTCAAGTAAGGCAAAGTGGTGCTGGCTCTGATCAGGCTCGCTGTGACCACGTTCAGGTGCTTGACATCCACACATGCATCTGTTTGGCAACCTGGTGCACATACCCGATGTCAGGTCTCTGGGTAGGGTCAGGGTAGATGCACATACTGACCAGTTCTCGTAACTGCAAGGGAGAGAAGAGTGTGCATTATTCCTAGGGAAGCAGGCTTGTTGAGGCTCTGTGTAGGCACTGCAGCTGCAGGAACTCGGCTCTCGCAGCAGCTCAGCGGGCAGTGGCACTCACCCAGGGACGGGCAGGCTCACACGGCTGCCCAGGAGAGCCAGGGCCAAGCCTAGGCCTCTTCTGCCCCAAAGGCCATTCTCTGAGACCCTGAGAGTGGTTACCACCAAGTTATTCTGAAATTTCAACTGTCCACACTACTGGGCAAATCTGTGTGTGTGTGCATATGTGCGTATGTGTGTATACATGCACACTGTCAGTCATGCAGATGCCCAAACTGAGGACAGAACGCAAGGCAAGAGCTTATTGATCATCACAAATACATTAACATGCAGCAGGGCTGCAGGCTGCCCACCCCCTGGCCTCTTTATTGTTGCTCATGAAAGACAGAGCTTTTAATTACACAGGCACTGAAGGCTGTGCCCGCCCTGGGGTGGGGGAGGGGTACCTTGAGCCTCTGATCGCCTCCCTTCTGATAGCTGGAGTGCCAATTATTTTAATGGTAATTAAAATAATGACCTTAGAAAAGCCTACATCTTAACTTGCATCACTGGGCTCACTGCAATTTCTTCACTTAAGTGCCTGCTGCTGGAGGGGCCAGCTGGCCCTGCAGGGTTGGGGGTCAGGGGCAGCAGGAAGAGAGTCCTGAATAAGGGGACTCACGTGGCCTCATTGCCTGTGTTCTGGGAGTCCGGAGAGACAAGGGGTCACTGTACACACTCCATGTTTCACTCCCCAGGGGTTTCAAGGTTGCAAACAAGGGGTTCCTCCAGGTCAGGCATTTTGAGCATGCTCTCCAAGCTGCGTGCCACCTTTATTGGGATTCCACTGTTTCGTGCACACTGGGAAGTTCCTGGACAGGCAGCGCAGACGGCCCTGGAGTCGGAGGCTGCCCATGATGAACCAGCACTTCTCGGAGCCTTACAGTGTGCAGGGGACAGGGACTGTGGCGGACCTCTGACTGCTTACCGTGCCCAAGGAACCGATGAAGGTGAAGTCTGCACGGCCCCCATAGCTCACTTGTGAGTAGACCACACAGTTGGCAATAAGTAAATGAGAATTTCAGAAACCAAGAGAAAAAGTCTTATTTCTAGGGTGGTGTAACTTCAAAAGTGAGGTGTGCTGAGGGGCTCCAGTGCTGAGAAGCACCTCTCCCAGACCCACCACCTAGAAATGCTGCTTGCAAACCAGACACTCACAGAGTGGGGGGACCAGCTTGGGAGGGAAGGGGGCTGAGGGCCTCATGCTGACCCAATCATTTCAGTTTGATATCTGGGAGGCAGAGATCATGGCTCCCATTTATAAGAGGGAAACTGAAGCACAGAAGTGATTTGCTCTAAGTTGCACGGCTCCAAGCCTCTCGCCTCTGAATAGTATATAATTCCAAATTTAAACAAAAGGTGAGAAAAGAAAAACCAAAACCAACCATTAACTTGGTAAAAAAAATCTAACTAGTTTTTCCTTTCCTGCCAAACTTCTGCTCCAGAGCATAAGTACTTCCTCCAAAGTACACAGAAGAACTTTGCAAGCCACTGAAGCAGAAGTTGGGCGAGAGTAGGCCCTGAATAACTCTGAAAGAGCCTGTGCTCCTCGCGCCTGCTCCACCGGCCAGGGGTCTACAAAGCCAAAGGGTACGGCAAAGGACAGAGGCTGACAGGAGAAGGCGGGCCCGTGACCCTTGCGGTTGGCTTGCCTGAACACAGGGTGAGAGCACGCGGGACACTTGGTCTCTGCAGCTTGGTCTGCCCAGGCCCCTAGGGGACAAGGGTGGCTGCTCCTTCCAAAGCCATCAGAGCCTTCAGGACTGGGATCACAGTGAGCTGCACAGACAGCGCTTCACCCGAGCTGGATAGTCAGCTACCAGAGGAGGTGTGCCACTGAGAAACAGGACGGCGTAGCAGCCAGGTGCAGGGTTCAAATCCTACCTTCACCACTTCCACAGTATATGACCTTGGGCAGGTTATTTAACCTGTGTCGCAGTTTCCTCATTGGTAAGATGGTCTGGGGGAGGACTCAACAGAAAGTCATGAATGTGAGCTGTTACTATGAGGCAATGGCCTATGGCCCTGCAGTGCGGACCTAGGTAGGTTTCAAGACTCCCCTTCACACCCACTACCTCTGAACAGAAACAATAGTTCTAGCATTAACCCTGAACAAAAATAACGGTAACAGTGAATGCTTATTGAGCATTTTTTCTGAGCCAGACCCTGTGCTATACTCAGCAGCTAGCTACTTTAGATGATGACAGAGTAAATGCTGGCCTGATGCATGTCACGCATTACCTCAGTCCTCACACTGACCCTGCTAGGTGGATGCTATGAGCATTCCCATTTTAAACATGAAAGAAGTCCAGTGACTTGCCCAAAAACAGTGAACGGTGTTTAAACATGCATCCATCTACACCCTAGCCATGCTGTGCTGTAAACCTATCACTTCATCCTCACATTTTATCCACAAGGTGAAACATGAGCCTCATTTTCAAGACACTGGAACTGGGGAGGAAGATGCTCATGCATAGCTAGCACCTGGCACACCCCAAGGCCAGGCCTGTCAGAGTGTGTCCAGAGGCCCTGCACCCAGTATAACATCTTGAAAATAAAAAGCCGCGGTGTGACTTGGGTCTGTGACAGCTTGAAGACCAGTCACGGTTGCCTGTCATGGCAGCACAGCGGCAGCCAGCGGTGGTTCAGGGCCCTCCTGCCTCTGCCCTTTCCTGTCATCTGATGCCACACGGAGCCCATCTCTCGGACCAGCAGCCAGTCTCCCACTCGAGCACTGGGTAGGGAGCCAAGTGGGCAGGAGTGTGCTGATAGGCCTCCTTGACCAGCTCCCACTGGCCTCTGCCTGGGCAGGCCGGGGTTCTGTTGGGCTCACACTGGTGTCCATGAAATGTCCTCAGTAAAATCTGCTTTTTTCCCTCTGAGTCACTTTCCCAGAAACCTTCCCATCTCCACCCTGTTAAGTGAACCCAAGCTCCGCCCCACAGCTGGGGAATTTTGGCACTGCCTCCTCTCCAGCCACCGCTGGCTGGCTGGGCCTGCCGCCAGGTCCTGACAGCAGGAGACTCACCTTCTCAGAGTAATGCTCCCCAGGGAGGGGGGGGTAGTCACACTGCTCGATCTTCTGGCAGAGGGAGAAGAGATTCATTTTATCTCCGTAGAAGGGGCTCTGGAGAGCTGCCATCTGCAAGAGGGGTGATGAGAGAGATGAGTTTAAGCCGTGAGGTCCAGGGACAGTGGGGCTACCCCAGGTTGGGGTGTGGGTTTCCGCTGGTCCTCCCTACAGCTGGACTTCCCCAAAACCCTGAGGAAGCTCGGATTCAACAGAATGGCAGTTTAACACACGATCCTGGTTATATGAGCAAATTAAATGTGACAAAGTTTCAGAGATAAAACTTTAAAGGCAATAAGGAAGGGGCAACTGAATACCGAGGGCCAGCCACGAGCGGGCATATGCCCCGCCTCATGCCTTAGCTCTTGAGGGCTGACTGGTGGTGTGCACGTAGCAGATGGGGAAACAGGCTCTGCTCCCTGGGATCTGTGCCTGGGCCCGGCATGTTCTCGCTGGTGTGTTGTATTTCTAAAAAGCAATTTCAAAGACACCCGTGGGAGGATGTCTATTGAAGTAGTACATTTAAGAAATTACCCAAGGACTAACATTTTGAGAATGGGGTATGGCACTTTGTTTTCGGCTTTCACACTGGCTGTTTTCACCAGCCTGTTAGTTCAGGGCAGTGGCGGCAACTGTCTGTGAAGGCTGGATGTGCAGACATCAGGGAGAGAGGGTGTGAGGAAGGTAGGCCAGCTGCCTGCCCTGGGTGCGAGGGCCTGGGGCTCTGCTTCACAGAAGCGCCGGGGGGGAGGGAGGCAAGCCACTGCTTGCCTGAACCCCAGCTCCGCACCGTGCGTCTGGCCTTTGGTTTCCAGGTCCATAAAGTGGGAAGAGGCTCCACCTGCAGGGCTGTGGTGAGGCTTGGCTGGCACCGGAGGGGGTGTCACAAGCTGAGCCCTCTGATACCAGAGGCTGGTGGCACCGGCTTAACCCTGAGGGCAGGCCCGCTCTTTCACCCTGGCAACCAAAGGACTCTGGGGGCAGCCCCAGCGGGCTCTCACCCAGCCAAGGGGACCGCCAGGCATCCCCTTCTGGAGGGCACCGAGACTCCCCACTCCACCATTCAGAGTATCACTGGGGGTTGTCTTCAAAGGGGGCACACAGGAGCCGTGGGATGGTCTGTGAAGCAGCGGCAGGGCAGCCCAGCATGGTGCCCGCGGCCCCATCTGCTGATTAATCCATAATGGGATTCAAGTGCTTCTTGTCACTCCCTCTCACTGTGGCCTGCCACCAAAAGACGGCCCGACGCCTCCTGCTAATGAAGTGCCCTCGGGTGATTGTGCCTGCCTGTCCTTTGGGCCTGGTTCTCTGCAAGGAGCCGGGCTGCCAGCACCACTCTGCACAGACTCCCTGGCCGAGGGCTCCTAGGCTCTGGCTGTGACAGGGCACCGGGACACCTGAGAAATCCCCACTGGCCCTCAGGACCCAGAGGGCAGGCCAGCAGCCCTGCATCGAGTCAGGGAGGAGCCTGCGGCAGATGGGCCTGTGGGTGCTCACTGGCTTCAGTTTCCTGCTCTGACAACCAGGAGCAGGCAGGGCTGGTGCCTCCAAGAGCAGGGCCTGCCTCCAGAAGGGTCCAGGGGACTTCAGAGCCGAAGCAACATCCTTGGGTTTACAAATGGCCTTTGGGGAGGGCAGCAGAGACTGGGGTTTCCTCTGACCCAGGGCGGTGCCTGGGCTGTACTGAGGGCTTTCAGGGCGGTGTTTAGGGCCGGCCTCATCTGTGATCAGGGGCTCTGGAGGGCTGGGAACCCGTGTGGACTGTGGAACACATCCAGGCACTTGGCAGGGAGGGATGAGTGTGCAGAAACCCTGCCCACTGCAGGCTCTGCCAGCTTTACTATTCTGGGTGCGCAAAATGGCATCACTTGGGCCGGTGCATTTCCAATAGTTAAAGCGAGAAGCTCGGGTGCGAAGGGTTAATTGGGCAGTTTCAAAACGACATCTGTTACCACAGCAGAGAGCAGCTGAGGCCCCAGGACAGGCACCCGGGGTGATGTGGGTGCCCTGAGTCCTGGCTGGAGGATTAAGATGGCTTTTCCTGGAAAATGTTTCTGTTCAGAGTAGAAAGGACATTTAAATACTGGCCCCACTAATGCAGGTCCCGGTGTTTCATGTGTCTGACCTGGGGGAGGAAGTGGATGATCCTTTCAATAAGCCAATCTGATCGGATTTGCACAAATCTTGCTCTTTGCGATTCTGAAAGGGCCCCAGAAGTTGGTGGGGGGTGAGCATCATCCCCTTCAGATCATTTCTCCCTCCTCCCTGGCACCCTCTCCACACAGTTTTGAAAAGCTTTTTGAACAGGGTCAGCAGCGGGCCTAGCCCGGGGAGCCCTCTCGTCCTTTCTGGCAACAGCGGCTTCTCCACCCGTAAATGCAGTCTAGCAGAAGCAGCACACCCCTGCGCCCCCTCCAGCTGCTGCCTCCAGGCCTTCCACCCAGATTAGGGCACTGGGCTGTGGAAGAGCCTCTGGGCCGCTGGGGATCAGAATGATTTCCTGCATGGTGAGATCCCATAGTGGTGACCACCCACCTCTGATTGGTTGAAGCAGAGGAGAAATTGCTGCTTCTGGCAGTTGTCTCAGAGCTGCCAGAGCCATGGCTCTGAGCACTGCTCCTCAACTGCAGACCTCCTCTGGTCTTACTAGGATGGCATAAGCCAGGGGACTGGGAGAGTCTGGGCACTTGCCCTGCTGGGACTTCTGAGAGGGCAGTGATTGCCCTTGGCTCCTGCCCTGTCAGGGACTCAGACACCCATCTTGTCACTCAGGATGCCCTAGAGTGAGGGCTGGGGTCAGGGACAAATTGCCACGCAGTCTGAGCCTTGCTCCCCCATGAGGTAGGGGGCATCCAGACCATCCTTCTGCTCAAGCCAGAATTCCAAAATGGGATTTTTGTGGATCCTAGGTGCAGCTGATCGCTGGCCCCAGCCTGTTTTCCTGCTGGCTCTGTCCCACTTAGGCTCCCTGAGGCCCCCTGCCGAAGGTCCTGGGGCTGGCACCGAACCAGCCAATTCCCTCGGCATCCATGTAAGTAAGTAGATGCTGCAGAGTCCACTGGGCGCCTCCGTGGGGCTGGGTAATGAGAAGAAGGCACCGGGCCTTCCAGCACGGCCAAGCTCAGGTGTCTCTTCTGGGAGCTCCCAGAGCAGATGAGGGCTGCTGAAGTAGCTTGGAGCTCCTCACAACCTTGCCTGGCCCTCAGGGGCTCTAGGCAGAGGCCTGGTGTCTCTCTCTGCCATGGTCATGCCCACGCTGGTGACAGGAGTGAAGGAGAGAGCCCAGAGCCCCTGTCTCCAGAAAGACCCCATGTCCCGCCTGCTTTGGGCCAGGACGTGGATCCCGTGCACAGGAGGGTGGGCTGGCACAAACAGCCTGGGGACCAGTGCCCGTCTTGGGTGCTTCCTTGGTACATGACCCTGGAAAGTCTCTCACCTCCCTGAGCCTCAGTTTCCTCCCTTACAGCAAGGCTGGGACCAGCCTGGTGTGTTTCCCGTGATTCACTCTGATGTCCAGGGCACTGCTGCTCCCAGCTGCTGACCTGTTTGGCCTCCTTCTCCTGACGCGACCTCCTTCGGACGGATCCCAGATGGTGACCCGAGGGGCACAGGCCGGGTCCAGCGCTTTGTGGCAGCTCCTTCCTAGGTTCAACATCAGCATCTTGAAGCGACCTCAGGAGGTTCCCAGGAGACGTCTGGATGCCCAGGTGAAAGGGAGTGTGGTAGGCTGAGTAAAGAGCCCTAAGCATGTCCACATCCTAATCCTTGGGGACTGTCAACCTGTTATCTTCCTATGGCAAAAAGAATTTGGCAGGTATGATTAAAAATCCCCAGATGGGGTCCCACGTGGGCCCTAAATGAGATCACAGGTGTCTTCCAAGAGGGGGGCCAAGGAGGGCTGACTAGAAAAGGAGAGGTGCACTGACAGAGTGGTACGAGGAAGGGGCCGTGAGCCGAGGAATGGGGCAGCCTTTCCACTCAGCGTGGAAAAGGCAGGAGACGGATTTCCTGTGAACCTGCAGAAGGAGCCTGCCTTGCTGACTCCTGCCATTGGCCCACTGACACTGATTTTGTACCCTGCCCTCCAGAACAGAGTTGTATGCCGTCGGAGGCCATCAGCGTCATGGTAATCCATTGCCGCAGCCTCAGAGGTGGGGCTTTTGAGACTTCCAACCCATGCTGGGCTTGGGGAAGGGCAGGCCTGCCCTCACGGGGCCAGGTGTCCCCTGGCTCCGGGTTGCCTCGGGCCCAGGCTGCCCTGGCGCACGTGTGCTCCACTGGGCCATGTGGGACCCTCAGACATGGTCTGGAGCGGGTGGGTGGAAGCCTCTGTGACAGCCTGCAGGCTGGTGCCCCTGGCACACACCAGAGGCCATGCAGTGGGAGCTCCAGGCGTTCCCTTCCAATCACCAAGCCCTGGGCTCAGATGCGTCTCCCTCCCCATCTGCTGGGAAACCACCCGCTCCCCTGCAGGCTGGGAGGTAGGGAGAGGGGTGCAGCCCGAGGCAGAGCTCCCCTGCCTGCCACCCTCACAAGGGCCAGCTGGCCACGGCCAGCCAGGTCACCCGCCAAGCCCTCTTCTGTGGGAGGCCCAGGGCCATTAGGTTTAGATCAGTGCCCGCTGTCCCTGAGAACATCAATGCCCGCAGGACCTGATTAATTTTACTGACTTCCCACTGCCGATGTGCCTCTCCCTGGCTGCTAGCTGCACGGCCCCACACACTGCCAACAAGCCAGTCAGCTCGGCTGGACCACAGCCGACGTGCTGGGGAGCCACTAACACAGGCGCTGCTTCACTAGACATGCTTTTGGGTGCCCCCGGCGAGAACGGGAGGACTGCCTGACCCCGGAGTCCAGGGAGGCGGCGTGGCGGGCGGGCAGGCGCAGGCTGCCTCTGCGTCTAGGAGCTGACACAAAGGCTCGCACGGGGGTGGGTCAGGGCCGGCTCTCCTGCGGAGGCTTGGCACACACACGGAACCAGCTGCTGCCCTGGGGAGATGAGCACGGCCCTGGCACACCCCACTTGGCATGTGTGTCTGTTTGTTTACATTTGGAGACCCTCTGGGTTCACAGAGGCAGGAAGCAGCCTGCAGAAATCCCAAATCCAGAATGGAAAACTAAGAGGAACAAACCACCTGGATCAGGCACCACATTCATGAGGGCAGAGGACAAAGCTGAGTCCTTCACAGAGACAGAAACCAAGCTGAACTTTGGTTTCCCATGGGCCAAAGCAAAAAGGGAAACCGGCCTGGCTGCATGTCCTGCCTCCCCACCAGAGGCAGGCAGCAAACCAGCCACTTGGCCTGCATGGGCTGCCCTCCTTTGCCCGAGGGCCTTCTCTGAGCCAGGTGCCGTTCCTACCTCACAGCAAGGCAGGGTAGGACCCCGTATTATGCTGCGGCCACTGGAGCTCTGGAGGAGGTGCTGGCTTGCCCCAAGGCCTTCAGCAGGTGAGTGGGGAGCTGAGCTATAAACTCAGGTCCTTCTGACCAAAGCCTGGGCCCTTGCCAGGACCCTGCACCTCCCGCACCAAATCACCCCACCAAGACCTAGCTGTGTGTGCACACTCCCTCACACACACACTCCAAGTCAGAACTGCGTGGTGCTGAGAGCCTGCTACACTGAGGGCATTGGTTTGACCCGGGGGAGATGCAGCACAGCAGCCTCCTCCCCTCAGGATGGACACTGCAGTGGCCGATGCCCACTCAGAGTTGGGCCAGGACCCTCCTCAGTCCCCGGGCCAGGTGGGGACAGGGCACTGATGACGCTGCCCCAAGCAGGAAACCGGGTTGGCATGTGACTGGGCCTGGCTCTGTCACTGGCCTCAGCAGCCCTGGTGGCCATGGTGTTTACCCCAAAAAGTGGGCTGCGAGGGATGGCTGGAGACCCTGGCCGTGACGCATCCCGGGTGGCAAACACCAGCACCACAGAGGTTCTGTGAGGCCCAGGACTCCGCTTCAGCCCAGTACCCAGGCTTTGCCTGCTTTTAATTCATTCTCAGCAAAACAAAACATGCCTCTGGGGCAATTATGAACATGCAGGCACATGGTGTACCCAGTCCCAGCAGTGCCTTTCCTGTTGTCCTGGCTGAGGAGATGCGTTCTCACTGTCTTTCCTTCTGTTGCTAAAGTCACAGATTTCTCTCCGCATTCCTTCCTGCACCCACTGTCCTTCCCCCACTCACCCCCACCCTCTCGGCTCCCAAACCACCCAGCAGCCAGGCTGTGGAGAGGCGGGGGTGTGGGGAGGAGACACAGCTCAGGCCACTTTCATCCATGGGGGTCAGGAAGTGCTCTGCACCCCCATCCACTGCAGCCACCCTGGCAGGTGCCCCTCACCCTCCCTGCTCCCTTTTGGTGCACTTTAAGAGAATTCCTCCCACAATAGACACCCCCGTGGAGTCCCAGAAAGCAGGTGGGCTCCCCATCTCTGACTTCAGGGTCTTATCCACAGACCTTCAAGATGTCCCTGTGGATCACCTTGACCTCTAGGGAGAAGGGGGGATGTCCCAGGCACAAATGCCACAAGGAGCCAAAGACCCACTTAGCATCCTCTTTAATCATGAGGCCATGCTTTAAAAATGAAATGTCTGTTATTAATAGGCCACTGGCTTATAAAGAAAAATGCTGTGAAGTTTAAACTTTGCAAAGGGATCCAAATTTCGATCTCATAGAAAGTTCTAACTTTCTTTCCTTCTGAGCTAATGGGGTGAGCCCTGCCCCATTGGGTGCCCAGCACACAGGCCCCACCAGATGCTCACCTCGTACAGCAAACAGCCCAGAGACCAGATGTCAGACTTGAAGTTGTAGCCATTCTCGTGGATCCTCTCTGGTGACATGTAGTATGGCGTCCCCACTGAAACACAGCAACAGGGTGGGTTCTTACCCTCTGTGAAGGGACAGGACATGGGGTGGGGAGAGGGCTCAGGGCTGGGAAGAGGCTGGGCCTCAGTCCTGCTGGGACCCGGGGCACCCCTCCTGTCCCTTCCTTTGTCAGATGAGTGGGCTGGATCAGGCTGGAGGTTCCCATACTGGCAGGGCACTAGGAGCCCCTGGGGACAGGGACCTACCCAGGTGAGAGTCCGTCTGGGGGTAGGCAGCTGGGCTGAGTGTTTTTGCCAACTGCCCAGGGGAGTGGGACACAGTGGCCAGCAACTGAAACCTTTTCAGCTGACTGCCTGAATCCGGAAGGGTCCCCGCAAGGCGCTCAGCAGCACAAAACCTGTAAGCGTTGACCGAGCATGTCACACACATAAGCTCACTCTTGTTCCAAACCGCCCCATGAGAAGGCATCCTCACTTTACAGACAGGGAAACTGAGGCTCAGAAAAGTGGGAGGACTGAGGTGTAAACCTGGATCTTCTGGGCTTCAGAAACAGAGCTCTTAGCCACATTTAAAAATGAAATGTCTGTTATTAATAGGCCACTGGCTTATAAAGAAAAATGCTGTGAAGTTTAAACTTTGCAAAGGGATCCAAATTTCGATCTCATAGAAAGTTCTAACTTTCTTTCCTTCTGAGCTAGTGGGGTGAGCCCTGCCCCATTGGGTGCCCAGCACACAGGCCGCACCAGATGCTCACCTCGTACAGCAAACAGCCCAGAGACCAGATGTCAGACTTGAAGTTGTAGCCATTCTCGTGGATCCTCTCTGGTGACATGTAGTATGGCGTCCCCACTGAAACACAGCAACAGGGTGGGTTCTTACCCTCTGTGAAGGGACAGGACATGGGGTGGGGAGAGGGCTCAGGGCTGGGAAGAGGCTGGGCCTCAGTCCTGCTGGGACCCGGGGCACCCCTCCTGTCCCTTCCTTTGTCAGATGAGTGGGCTGGATCAGGCTGGAGGTTCCCATACTGGCAGGGCACTAGGAGCCCCTGGGGACAGGGACCTACCCAGGTGAGAGTCCGTCTGGGGGTAGGCAGCTGGGCTGAGTGTTTTTGCCAACTGCCCAGGGGAGTGGGACACAGTGGCCAGCAACTGAAACCTTTTCAGCTGACTGCCTGAATCCGGAAGGGTCCCCGCAAGGCGCTCAGCAGCACAAAACCTGTAAGCGTTGACCGAGCATGTCACACACATAAGCTCACTCTTGTTCCAAACCGCCCCATGAGAAGGCATCCTCACTTTACAGACAGGGAAACTGAGGCTCAGAAAAGTGGGAGGACTGAGGTGTAAACCTGGATCTTCTGGGCTTCAGAAACAGAGCTCTTAGCCACCAACCTTGGCTGGCACTGATGAGCATGGCAGACTTGGGGTTGGCTGAGGTTTCTCAAGCAGGGACAGAAAAGACACTAATCAGACACAAAAAGATTGGTAATGGTAATTCAGACTTCATTAAAATGAAGAGCTTCAGTTCACAAAAGACCATCTGGAGATCTGACAGGTGAGCCGCGGACTGGGAGAAATAGTCACAACACATATCCCATGACAACCTAATAGAATATACTTAAAAACTTCTATAAATCAATAAGTATAAGACAATACTCTCCCTCAAATTAGCAAAAGGCTAGAAGGGGCCTTCCACAAAAGAAAATAGCCAACTGGCCAATAAGCCCATGACATGATCTCTTTTTCTCATCACACATCAGGATAATGCAAATGAAAAGCACAAGTTACTACCACTTGCTCACCTGAATGGTTAAAGTTAAAAAGACTAATGCACACCAAAGTTGGTGATATGTGATCAGTGGGACCCCCATGTGTTGCTGATGGGGATGAAAAATGGTACAACCACCTCGGAAAACCATTCGGCAGCATCTACTACAGCGGCACGCTGCCGAGAGTATCACCCAGCAATTCCGCTCCCTGGTCTATGCCCGGGAGAAGCGAGTGCTTCTGTCCAGCAAAGGACATGATGAAGAATGTGCAGAG